TTGTGGACTTTTGAGTTCAGTAAGTTACATTCTGCCATAGCTAAGCAAAACACAGCTGCAAGTGTTTCTTGTAGAATGTTGGGGAATAACTGTATTTTACTGAAAATTTACAAGCTTGGTGCAAAACGTTTGTGATATTTGTTTTGCAGGTTTGTTGGGCGTTTTAAATGCAGACGGGAGAGGGAAGCCGAACTCGGAGCCAAAGCCAAGGAATTCACAAATGTTTACATCAAGAATTTTGGAGAAGATATGGACGATGAGCGACTAAAGGAGACTTTTAGCAAATACGGTAACTGAATGAATTCCTGTCCCAACAAGTGGGCACTTGCTTCTGGCTTAGCGTGTGAATAAACTCTCCTTGGCTCTGCCCGTGCATGTGGGCTTCTGGTTTCACGCATATGCTGTGGTTAACCTATTGAGTTAGTTGACTCTGCTCCCGCATGTGGGCACCTGGTATCATGCGTGTGCCGTGCACCTGCATGCTGTGACCCTGTGACCTCTGTGGTTAACTGGTGTCTCTTGGCTGTAGGCAAGACTCTGAGCGTTAAGGTGATGACTGACCCGAGTGGCAAGTCCAAAGGGTTTGGCTTTGTCAGCTTTGAAAAACATGAAGATGCAAATAAGGTAAGAGCTCCCATGGAGAACCAGGCAGACAGAGAATGTTTGCAGGGGAGTGCCAGGTGCTCGGGAGCTCTACAGAACTCGTGCTATCCATTGTGGGGGTCTTGTCTATGATTTCTCTAATAAACTTTTGTTTGCACCAGGCGGTGGATGACATGAATGGAAAAGATGTCAACGGAAAGGTGATGTTTGTCGGCAGAGCGCAAAAAAAGGTTGAGCGACAGGCAGAGCTGAAACGGCGATTTGAGCAGTTGAAGCAAGAAAGAATCAGCCGCTATCAGGTGTGTATGTATAATCATATGCATAGCTGTTACTTACAAGAGAAACTTAGCTCAATCTTTGTCGTGAGGCATAGAACTTTAAATATTGATGTTTAAAAGGACCATGTGGTAAGTGTCCAGGCTTTTCTACCTTCATATTAGGAAGGCCACATTTGGGACATGACATGGTTGCTTTGGGCAACATAGAAGTTAATTCATTTAGTTTTAACAAATCGTGCCTAGAATGGCATCTTGCTGTTAAAGCCTACTTGTCATAGAATAGGAAGAACAGACTATGCCTGCTCTCACACATTCTTGTTGGCATGCACAGCAGGATTGTGATTTTGTCTAATTCCTCTTGGGTCTGTCTCTTTGTGGCCATTCAGTGTATTCCACTGTAATGCTGCCTGGCCCATAACAAGACGCATTAAGATGCATAGAATGACTATAACTGCTGGTGCCATATACATAACCACAGGGACAACACCTGGTAAAAACTCAGAGGAACCCAGTCTCTCTCTGCATTTTATTTAGAAGTCTCCAAAATCAAGAGTCCCAGTTCAGTGTTGTGGGAATGCTATAATTTCACTTGTAATAGCAAGCCGAAATATTGTCTTGAAACATGTAAACCCTAAGGCCCCATTCACACACAGCGATATATCGCGCATTTCCCATAACGTCTTCCAGGACAGCATCACGAGATGGAATCTCCTCCCCCACACACAGGAAACACGTCACTTAATCTGTTTAAAAGACCCTCCTCTCCTCCACTCCCTCAGTCTTTTGTGTTTCCTCAGTCAAGCTGGGGAGCGCGTCACAGAACGCTGAGAGAGGGCTTCCATGTGGTGATGCTGCCCGGGAAGTCTTCCTTGTTGGCCTGCCTGTGTAAGGCAGAGGGGTAGGTTTGCCTACCTTGTGGAGCCCCAGGGATTCTCCTAGCGCTGCAGGAGATGAGGCTGGCTTCCTTTCCCCCTTCAGTGCCCAGTGCGGGCCGATACCGGGAGGGCGAAACCCCCTTGGCTGGTCAGGGGAAGTGGTGGACCGCCGTTCAGAGGGGTCTGTCCGGTTCTCAGGGCCTCGGGACGTGTTCCACGGCCAGGCCGGGTGGCCGCGTACGTCACTTCCGG